AAATGAAAATGCGTTTTGGTGATCCAAGATGCAAAGTTATTATGAGTTATTATGAATGCATTTTTAGTTTTGATCTCCTTTAGTATGGTGGTGTAAGTTTCTTAGCTAATTTATCTTGCGAAGAGCTTAGAGTATGCTTGGATATATATATATATAAAAAAAAATATTTTGATTGGATTTTTGGTTTGAGTTGGTTAAATTTGAAAATGTTGGTATTATTAGTTGTTAATGGGTATATTAAAATAATATTCAAAATAAAATGATTAAAATTAAATTGATGTAAAAGTATGAGAAAGAAAATGTGATGTGAATGTTAGTTAAAATTATGTGACTTGATGAATTAAAGTTGATGTTGTGTGTAAGAATGATTGATTGTTTTATTTAATTATATTGATAATATTGATGGTAGTGAGGTTGAGTTAAAGTTGAGTTAAAAAAAAAATAATTGAGTTAAAAATGATTAGATTTTTTGGACTTTTTAGATCTTTTGTCTGCAAAAGTCTCTATTGCTTTAATTTTGTCCAATTTTGTATTATATGTCATGCCATTTTTCATAGTTCAATAGTCTTCATTGCATTTCATGAATAATAACTATTTTCTATATTTAATTTTCAAATTTATTCTTAACAATTTAAGAATGTTATAATAAAATATGTGGCTATAATATTATATTCCACGGTACAAAATGTATTGAGTTCAAGCGACTGTAATTACTTGTGGCTATAGAATGGACTACTATATTCAATTCTTGTGACAACATTTACGTGCAATAAGAACCTATAATTGTAAGTGACTATTGATACAATATTTGTGACAATAATATTTGTCACTAGATGGATTATAATACATTGACAAAATCCACTCGTCACAGCAACATCAATTTTCAGCATTGTTATAAAAGTCGACTTAGGCGTTAGGCGGTGTTCGGACACCTCCAATTTATACAAATCAGCAGAAAAAATTGGTCATGCGGCTAGGCGGCGCTTAGCTGGTCTAGGCGGGTCTTAGGCGCTCCTAGACGGGCTCAGCCGTAATTTTTTTATTATTTTTTTTTTAATTTTGCATAAGAGGAAAATAAAGAATAAATAAAATAATAGCCAATTAAGGATCAATAAACGTGGGCAGCTATATATACAGTTGTTGATTTAGTCGATTGGTGTCCGAATGTTCAAGCCGTCGTCGGTCGTCGATGGAATCTTACACATAAAGCTACCGACTTGTTCTAATAATACAGCTTTCGAAAAAATATATGTTTAATAATAATTTATATAAAATAAAAACTTCCTATACCTTTTTGTTGATATTATTAAACATTACAACATATTTACATATAATGAGTTTTGTGCCCGTTAGTAATTATATCAATTAGTCAATCAGCCAAATTATTAATTAGCCTCACTAGTTTAATATATTGATCTATTTGGAAGGAATTTTCCTATTACAAAATTATATTCAATTTTATTGAATGAATGACACGTGCTTATGATAACGTTATAATTATGCATGTGTCAATCATTCAACGAAATAAAAAACATAATCTTAAATCAGGATAATATTTTCCTGGACTATACAAAGAGATACAATTTATCCACAATCAAGCTAATAATATATATATATAATAATAACAATAAATTAAAATAATTATCAAGTTGACCATAAGAATTTTCCATATCATTAGGTTTATCCAAATTGTTAGACACGGTTTTTCGTAACACATCTATCTTACCTAGCAACTTCCTAGCAAATATTCCACTATGTCACATCTTACATATGTTGGACCTTAATAAATTACATATATAAACCCCAATTGATCAAACTATTTCACAACAAAAAATCATCATAAAATTGAACTACAAAAAAAAAAAAAAAAAAAAAACCTTCCTCTCTCCACATATCTAAATTTCCATAATTATTTTGGTTATATTAATTAAATTTCTTTGTTGTTATTCGTATCGAGTTGTCGCATTTTATTGGTCATGGCCGTTGACCGGTGGCTATTGCTAGGCCGACTAAAGAGGGCCGTGAAGAAGATCAAAATCTTGCTCGATTTCAACGTAAACCGATTGAAACTAGCTTCGATAATCGGGAGCTCGTCTAGCAAGACGCGGCTAAGCTTTACGAGCCGGCCTAGTTTAACGGCTTGTGTTGAGGATTTCGAATTGGTTCACGAGCTGGGCTCGACTAGGAGCTTCCACCGGACTATAAGCTACCCGTCGGAGGACGATGTAGACAAGAAGGCCGACGCATTTATCGCCAATTTCTATAAGCAGCTGCATATTGAGAGGCAAATTTCGTTGGAGCTTAAGTACCTTAGAGGGAACAGCTTTGATTCTGCAAAATCTACATGAATAAATCAGTTGGGCTCAGTTATTTTTACTATCTTGGGCCTTTTATGGAGATTTTTTTTATTGTTTTTTTTTTGTAATTAGTGAGAAATAAGGGGGTGGATTTGGAGTTTTTTGGGAATTGGAGATTGGTGGTGGGGACTTTGAAGTTTTTTAGGGAAGGTCCTTCATCAGCAAGAAAAAGGTTTACATTTTTTTTTTATTATTTTTGTTTTTTTTGGAACATTTTGTAATGTAATGGATGCAGAAAAACGTGTAGAAAAGGATGTGTGAATAGATTGTTCAGTTCATTGACGGGCAATTCTGCTTTCCTTGACTAAAAGGGCAGGTGCCGGCTTTTTTGCTCCGGTTGTCGGCCGGTTATTTAGTTTGTTAGATCTCCTCCCTCCCCATCACGTAATTCTTTTTGGTCGAATTGTATTCGGGCTGTTGTCTCACGTAAAGATGTAAACTAAACGAGTCGCTTGTTACTTCTGTTTGGTTCGACTCGTTAAGGATCAAGTTCGAGCTCGACCCGCTCAATAGTAGCGAGCCGAGCTTGAGTTCGATTATGAGCTTGTTAATTTAACTAGCCGAGCAAGCTCGACTCGGTAAGAGCTCGAGCTCGATTATAAGCTCGTTAAGTTAACGAGCTAGGCATAGCTAATTTTGGACGCATTTTTAACATTTCTCAAATCACTACGCCAAAAAAGCATTCAGATAACACTTTTGACATAACACTTTTTTAAATAAGTGTTATGTAAAAACCACATAATCCTTAGATAACACTTAATTTAACAAGCGTTATAAAAAGAGTACAAATACATAACACTCTTTTTAAAAGTGTTATGTAAATTGTAACACATATTCATATTATAACACTTCTTTTAAAAAGTGCTATATAAGTTATAACACATATTAATGTTTCATAACATTTCATCCTATCTAAACAATCCCACTAGGCCACTACAATATAATAAAAACAAAAAACACTTCATATTAAATACATCATAATTAAAAAATAAAAATAAACATCGCACCCTCTATAAAAACTTCGGAGAGAAATAAACGATGAACCCTACTTATCGGCAAGGAGAATTTTATCTTCAATCAAGCACAAGGAGGAGACCAAGGGCAACGAGAATGAAGAATTTCGGACACGAGCATTGATTATTCATCAACGAAATGTACAATTTTGCGGCAAAACGGGTAAGAATATAATTGTCTGTTCAAAATTTATTTCGCCGTATACCTATTAATTTTGTTGATCCGACGGTCTGATGCCTGCTAGAGCCGAGCTTCCTGAAAGATATAATCGGAAACTACAGCTTGACCTTTTCCAATTCGATTCAGTCACAACAGAGCAGTAAGTCCACCACCACTGGCGGCGGAGCCATGGACGGCAAGGACAGAGTTTCCACGGGGAACAGGCGAACTGCGTACAAGGTAAAAGGCTACTTCAAATTGGAAAAAGAGAAGATTGCTAGGACGTTCGAGCGGAAGAGTGGGGTTTGTGGGACACGATCGCTTGTTATCAGAACGCTCAGAGAATTTTCACGGAAGCGATTTCTACTCCAGTTTCTTCTTACATCCCCTCCAAGTGGTAGAACCGTTTATCTGTGTGTGTGAATTATGATTTTCCGTTCTAATGCAAGTTATGGGTATCTCTTTGTTTTGATGAAGATTAGTGTCAATGCACTAATACAATAGTTCTGTAGCTTGTTACATTAATGAATTATGACTGCTGCGATCATTTCAGATATCTATTGGGGATAAATGGACAAAACGTATTGTTTTTTGTTCTCAAGGACATGTGCATAATGCATTATGTTAAGTTAGCAAGAATTTGATTACTCTCTGTGGTTCGATGTCAGATCACTTAATGTCCTTAACAAATAGGTAGCCATCTATGTTCTTGCATCTTGGAAAACTATTTTGTGTATAATGCTTACTATTCATTTGCATGATCTAATTTGATCCCGAGGTTTATTTGATCACCATAGAAGTATAATCTTCTGGTACCATTTAAATCTTGAAAGGGTGCGTGACAATTGTATGAGTAACCAATAATGCATGACTAGCTAAACCGTTTGCGATATGCAGTTTACTAAAATTTCAAAAGTACAATATTTAATTATGAAGATATATGGTCGTAAGAGTATCGTGATGTGGGTTTCATGTACAATGAACTATGAAGCAATTACAATTGTTGTTTATGCAACAAATTATTATATTCGCTTAGTTCTTTGTTTCAACTTACTTTATTTTTCTGTGAACTGGAGAAGGTGAAATCTTACAGTCAAAAGATATCAAAATGGCAGGACCAAGTAGCAGAGAGACTGCAGACTTTCTCTCAGCGAACAGGTTCTCATTTATTTGCATCTATGTTTTATGATTTAAGAAAACACTATTGGTGACAAAAGAAAACTCACTTTCTTTTTTGTTCTCCTCATTGCCTTGTCGGTTATCTTAGGTGTATCACTAGAAATCAAGGTATGAATTGCTCTAAGTGACGTGTAAGTTTTAATCTGTGGATTGTGTCTTGGCTTGATTTAACAAAATAACCCGTGTTAGAGTAATTTTGCTTGATGGAAGAGTTTCAGATAATTGTTTTATGCTTATGAAAGTAGGAATAATTAGTTAAAATTTATCATGGTTATTCTGTGAATCAAGGTGTGTGGGAAGAGGTTCCTTTCTTCAAGTTTTTGTTTTACACTCTATGAAAAATGTAATGGAGTATTTTCACTTGGTTAATCTTTTTTTAATAAAGCTAGATTACAAATTTACATATATTTGATTTGAATGTATATTCAGCATTTCAAAAGTTGGGTTCATGATAAGATTGCTTAATAAATTAAATCATTTCTCTTTCCTGATTTCTTGAATTATTATTATTAATACTGTTTGTAGTTTGATATGTCATGCCATTGAGATTGAAGTAGATATTGCTCATTCTTGGGATAATTTTATCCCTCTGAAGTGATCGAGGAATCCACTGTCGTCGATAAATTTGAAATTCAAATTACTGAAATTTTTTCTTTCTTTGCTTTATTTGTTCACATGAAATATTTTGTTGACTAAGCATTAGTCAGCATAGGATACAATTGTAGGGGAAAACCGGGTGATTTCGGTGATGCCTTGATATTTTAGGGTAAAATGAGTGGCATTTACATTTAAATTGATGCATAATTTAAATGATTAAAATGTATTGTTCAAGAAATAAGCAATATAAATAAAGAGCGTCAAATCCAATGCATCCATACATGACTTCACGTAGTGGATATGCATGGTTTGAGCGAAAAATGGTAGAGTGCACTTATATGTGTGTATGTGTGTGCTTTTTTCTATGTTTGTTTATAATGCTCTGTCACTCACGATATATCCTTAATACTTTAATATATAGATAAAAGAGTCTGCATTTGAAGGCTAAACGTCTTCCGTGTCACAAGGTATGGAAAGCTGCTCGTGTCAACAAAAACAGAATTATTGAAAATGAAAATGTCCAAAAAGTTTGGAACGAATGTGTGAGTTTAATGATCTTTTACGTATTTTCGTTATTCGTTAATATGTGATAAATTTTAATTATCATGATAAAGTTTTGTATAGTATTCTTGCATCTTTCAGGAGAACCTTTCACAACATATACTTTCCCAGGCCATAAATGCCATGGAGTATCCTGGCCGTGGCCGTGTTAGAGGGATTGGATTTTGGATCTCTCGAAAATATTGTTTTCCTACAAAAAAACGTGTCAAACATGATGAAGTGCAGAGGTAAGTAAATTTAAGCTTATTTATTTTTTCATTTTATTACCCACACATTTTTTGCTATTTTGGTTAAACTGTAATTGCTAATGTTATATTCTCTAGTACTTTGTTTGTTACAATTGTGTTCATAGTTGTGTAAAATTAAAACTCTACTATTGTTTTATTGTTGTGTAAAATTTCAAATCTATTACAAAGTAAAATTAATAGATAATGGTTGAGATGTTTCTTTTCAGATTGTAATTTTGCCAGATACATGCGAATTAGTTTTGTACTTAACAGGTATGTATTTTGTTATACTCGTATTACATTTTCTTTTATATTATTTTTATAAAATGTGATGAAATGACTTAAATTTGGTATCAATATATGTATAACTTTCGTGATGTAGGAGGATGTCATCATAACTTTCTCGGCCTTGGCTAATAGTGAGCGAACTTTTTACTAGGAATATTAGTTGTTTTTCTTTATTTGTAGGAATTGGAGATATGATTCTTTCATTATTTTGTACTACGTTATTCTTTGTACGAACAAGCACAATGTTAAAATTGGTGGATTGTGTTAGTAAGTTTTTTTTTATATTCATGTTTGAGTTGTTTTCTTGTTGGTTCTTGCTTCTTGGTACATATATTTATGATTTAAGTCCGTTGATTCTTGTTTACTGATATATGGGGTTAATGAATGCATACACAAAAAACATATAAAAAAATACACATGGATAACACTTGTTTAGAAAAGTGTTATGTGTTATTATCATCTCAAATAGCACTTCTGTTAAAAAGTGTTATGTAACTAGTGTTATAGATAACGCTTAATATAAAAAAGTGTTATGTGATAGGTTATTCACATAACACTTAATATAAGAAGTGTTATGTGAAAGGATCTTCACATAACGCTTTTTTATAGTAAGTGTTATGTGAAAGGTTTTCACATAACGCTTAATATAACAAGTGTTATGTGAAAGGTTCTTCATATAACGTTTTTTTATATTAAGCGTTACGTGTAAGGTTCTTCACATAGCGCTTAATATAAAAAGCGTTATGTGAAAAGTTCTTCACATAACGCTTTATAAGCGTTATCTGAAGAGACCAGTCTTCAGATAACACTGACTCTGATAACGCTTAAAAGCGTTATCTGTAGCGAAAAAAAGCGTTATCTGAAGTTTTTTTTGGCGTAGTGAATATGGGCCATCTAGCATCTGAATGAGCCTCATACTAATTTTAAATTGGGCTTCATCAATTTGTTTATGGGCTGGACATTATATTTTTTATTTGAACAAGATACTTACCCAGATTACTACATACATGACTAATTGACTATAGACTGGATTTTTTACCTTTATATTTTTTACTTTTTACTTATCCCCAAAGAAGAAAAAAAAAAAAAATCTGCAAAAATGATTATTATTTGACTGTGGCAGTAAATTTATTTATGGTGGTGGCCTGGTGGGGCTGGAGCAGGTGGGAAAGTCACGTGCAAGCCAATATACATACACATATACATACAAATAGACAAACATATATACATACAAATAGACATACACATATACATACATTATTATATGTCTGACAGCAACTTGACGAAGCTGCCAAAAGCTTTTCTACTTTTTCACACTGCTCTGCCTCTGCTCTGCAGTATTATTGAATTAGTTTAATTTACCTGCTGTGCCAATAAAATATACATATTTTTTAGTATACATTTTTGATAAGTTTTGTCTCATTCAACAATTAATATGTAAAGGATAAATTATTTTTATCTCAGAAAAAAAATAGTACTATATAATTTTTACGTTGTAAGTATATAAATATAGAAATATTATAATTAAAGTTAACATGGTGTAAAAAGTAATGGGATTGATACATTCTTTAAAAAGGAAAAAAAAAAAAATCAAATTTCAATGAAAAATATACTTTAATGTAAAGTACTATGATATTTCAAATGTTATAGCTTTCGTGGTAAAGTTTCAGAAGATGTTGAAGTTTAACGCTAAAATCTTTCATGGGCATTGAATTTCTTTTGAAATTTTAGCTGGAATTTGATGATTCCAACAACAATCGTTTTCAACGGTTTGTTGTTGTATACGCTTCGTTGAAATTTATAAATTTATTGGAACTTTTTTCTGCTAATTATTCCAATAGGTGCATTGTGAAGTTTCGAAATCCAATAGAAATTCTGTTGGAAAACCAATTCCTACTGAAATAATATGCTGAAAATTTTCAAAATATAAATATCCAGTGAAGTTATCTATGAAATTTTATTGGAATATATTGTTGTAATTTGTTATTTAAATTTGATGATTTTCTAATATTATTGTTTTGTTGAAAATTTCATAATAATAATGTATTTTCAGATATTGAATAAAAAAAGTAACATAAATTAAAATAAAATAAAATCTTTTTTTATATTTTTTAATCATTTACAATTTAATAAAGATGAATCTTGACTAATTAAAAAAACATGTTGTATATATATATATGTACATGCATACACAACTACACATACATGTACAAACTATAAAATCAATATTCTATCTCCAAATGAATACAAACATATTTTTCCATAAAAGCAGTAACTATGATACTAAATTAATGATAATATGTACTATCAATGGAGATAATCACATGTAACGAGAAGCATAAAAGGAGAACCAATACGTACACGCATAAAATGTAATCAGTACTAAGTTGCACACATACACACACAACATGTTCAACTCGTGCATTGATAGAAATTTAATGTATTTTTTTATTCACTTTCTATAATTTTTGTAGATGGGTTTCAACAACTCGTTTGGTTAACCACGGTTCGTTAAGATTTGAAAAGAAAATTTTTATGTATCTTTTTACAGTTCACCTCGTTAAACTTCAATATCAGCTTGTTAAGGCTCGACTTCGAGATGTTAACGAGCCGGACTCGATCTCAACTTTGGCTCGTTAATTTAACGAGCCGAGCAGACTCGTTAAAAGCTCGAACTCGATTCGACTCGTTTACAACCTTAGTGCTAACTCTCGTAAACTCGAGCCTTTATTCATGTGCTTGCTCGAACTTAGGCACACCTATATTTAGCCAATTTTGAGCTACAAAAAAAATAAAATAATATTTAACAATTAATTTCTCATTCTCCTTAAATTAATACAAAAAAATAAGTTGTCCACTATTTATTTTTTTTAAAAAAATAAAAACTATAAAATGGGTACAAAATGAATTTTTAATTTACAAACCATACCCTAGAGATGGCCACGGGCCGGGCCAGGCCGTGAACCAGTTCCGGCCCCGCCCGAACCGGCTCTGAACCGGCTTCGAACTGGCTTCCTAAAGGTCGATTCGTTGAACCGGACCGCAGGGCCGCGGTTTCGATTTCGGGCCATAATTTTTTTTTTTTGACCCACAGGTCCAGTCCGGGCCGGACCGGGTCGCGAGACGAATGGCGCGCTGCGATGTTATTTTCTTTTTATTCCTTAAGGGCCATCCCGGCCCGTGACCCATAGACCCGGTGAACCGACGGTTCAGGCCGGTTCTATAATTTTTTCGGGCCGATCACAAGTTATGGTGTTGAGACCCGCCAACTCGACGGGCCGGGCCGGGCCGGACCGGGCCAGCTCGTGGCCCGGCCCCTGGCCATGTCTACCATACCCACAAAAAATAGAGCATTGAAGGTCCAAATACAAATGTCCAAAAAGAAGTGTGTTTAATTGTTCGATAATAAAATGTATAGACACAAGAGTCAAACGGTAGCGGATAAAGGGTGGAAAGGTGCAAATAAATATAACCAAAAGGAAGAAAAATAAAAAGGTTTGGGCCTTGGCCCTTGGGGGGGTCCTTCATGGGGAGTTGAGATGATACCGTTGAAAGCAAAATGTCAAACGCTACAGATTTTTTCTATCTTTTTTTTTTTTCCTTAGCAAAAATTTTTCTTGGTAACAGAGTTTTTTTGACACCTTCTCAAAAAAACACATCACAATCACAATTTTTTTAAAATATTGTCTCCTTTATTTATTTATTTTACCTGCTCTATCAAATATATCTAACATCCCCCTTTAACATTTACAAATCCCAAAATATAAGCTTGTTGTTAACAGATAC